TTAGATTGAAGAGAGATTTAATACTTTTCTTATGTGTTTTCCAGGTATTCTTGAAGCTGTCTCACCACAGTAAAACTATTAGCTTACATCTTTTCCAGCTGTGAGTAGCTATTCCTATGCACAATGGAAAATAAATAAATCCATCTCATTAATTATGGAAACTCACATCTTTGACGTTCATTAAAAGGAATTTGGTCACTTACAATAAGTTAAATACTAGATAAAAAACCCAAGAACTCAAAATCTGAGATGCACAACCACGAAATAAAAATAAAACAGATGTAAAGCTACATTTAAGTAGAAGTACTGCAACAATAAAGATGTTCCTATGTGAGTAACTAGTCCACGCATAGTCCAGATGAAATTAAGTTCCCTAATCCAGCGATCTGATAATAAGTGAACCCTAACAAGCCTTGAATACACAAAAACAAGTTGCAGCATTACAGCAGATGTGGCATTCAGCGTGGACTTTTTGTTCTGAATGACCTCCAATACCAGGAATCAATGAAAGATTCATTTTGGGGAGGGGGGTCTCTAGGTGACCTTTGTGAAAATGTTCCACCATTTTGGCAGAATTCGTATAAGTGCAGACCATTTCATGTAGACAGTAAGTGTATGAAATGAGTGCTCCTGTCGTTCCAGCCAGGCTCTCTTTGACAGCATGATGATAGAAGCGTCACATCCTTGGGAGAGTAAATGCAAACTGACAAGAGATGAGCCTTTGGTTGCTGAATATAATACGGAATTGTGCTCTGAGTGTCTTATTATCTTGTCTGTTGATGTCTGAAAGGGGGAGATTTGCTTGAGAAGAGAAGACAGAAACTGTACGCATCCAACACCATCTCGTCCTTTGAAAAAATTGCTTGCCCTACTAACCACAGCTTTCCCACCTAATGTCCACTTCTACTTGGAATAAATACAAGGCGGCAGGATGTTTGTGGTGCCTCGTAGCCCCTGTTAGCTGAAGTGGAAGACTATTTGCACAGGCAAGCTTTTAGGAGGAGAACGACCCTTTCACCACTGCAGTAAGCATGTGGTGGGTGTAGAAGGTGGACAATTTACTGTAGACAAACATGACCGCTACTGTCATTGTCTCCCACCGACGTCTTCTCATACTAGCAACAAACTAAAGTCATACATCAACTCTGTGGGGAGGAAAAGTTGTGGTAGGCTCTTAAATATAAAAACGCGTATATGGCACAAAGAAGACACGCAGCTATATCAAAGTTCATAGGTGACTGCATAATTACTGCAGCAATGATGATTCAAAAGTGCTCAGTATTGTTAGAGAGTTGCATATTTATCACAGCTTTTGTACAAAAGAAGCCCCAGAGACAAGAGATCGTCTACAACTCCATGTATTTTCCGGTAGTATACAACTAATTAGCCGTAGGTCGTCCTCAGCAGAAGGCTTACAGGTTTCAATCATCAGTCAAAAGATGCACACTTTCAACTAGCTGCGTTATGAATGAGCACGTAATACAACTATTCTAAAATTAGTCAAGATGGCTTTGTTCTGTCGACACGATAGATACAGTAATACTTGAATTCTAGGGGAGCAAATTAAGTCTCACAATGATTTGCATTTCATTGAAACTACAAGTGTGTACTGTTATTCTGTGCATGTCATAAACGTGTTGGTTCGCGTGCGAAATGTCAATCATGAAATTGGAGCATTGTATCAGAGAGATTATGCAAAGTAACAGAACAAAGTTTTCATTTTTCTATACTCTGAAACAGAGGAATCCAAAGTTTTCTTCCCTTGCTTCTTCACCACAACGCAAGAGAAAAGGGAAAGAATCAGTTCAGAACCACATAAAGAAAACCACTGAATAATGTAAGGCCTAGTTTAAAGGCTCAATTCAGGGTTGTTTTCATATCCGTGGCATTCATGATGATAATATAGTGGTGAGAACAGCAAACTTAATACAGTATCCTTGCAACCACGAGGGTTCACTGCAATCACAAATGCAAGCAAATGTGGCTCCATTAACTACAACATGAAATCCAACCAATGTATCAAACCTGAAGATCGTAATTACTGTCTAAAATGTTTGTTTTCATAAATTGATTAGTTATGCAAAGGGTCAAAATACCAAAAACATTGCGTCTCATTGCGTGGAAATTGCATACCTTTATGGCAACACGTGTTACGCTCAATTGGTTTTTCTGGAGGCTTCACAGACCCAACTCCACTCATATGGCGGGTAACATTATCCATCAACTGTAATTAAAATGTGAAAGTTTCCAAAATGTTAATTCAAAGCTCAACTAAACACCAAACAAAACAATTGCAACAAGGAGACTACCATCCTTAAGTAAAATAAAATTTAGCAAACAGTCACCATCACCCCTTCTGTCTGGTGGCATTTAAGGAAACGTATAAAAAGATGCTGAGTCTGTCTTCTTCAACTCTCCCTCTCATTCTTACTTCTTATCACCCCAAGCAGAAGACACGACTATGCTACGTCTCCTCATCACTCCCTGCTTTTCTCTCTGACAGGTCATGTGGGCAGTGGTTCCCAAACCAAACCTGCCGCTGGCAAAGCCCAGGGCTCTGCCATCGGCCAGAGAGAAACCATTCCCCCCAAAATTCACAAGTTACACTGGAGCGGCTCTGACCAGCCACGTGCAGCATTAAGACGTGCCATCAAAGAAAAACCGAGAACAAAACAGACACTAAAAATCTAAGAAATTAGCGACATGTTACATAATTTCATGTTTTCCTAAATAATTTCTCTTTAACAAAGTCTCATTATTGGTGTAAAACTAAAATAGCTGCAAATATAAATAAACAGCAAAGCATTTAAACAACATTTAAGTGAACGTGCACGAGAGAAAAAGAGGAGCAAAAAGTAGAAAGTCAGCAGCAGGAGATGAGTCAGATAGAGACAGATCAGAAACGAAGAGAGACTTGATGCTTATTAAACCAAATTGCAACACTTCTGAGACAAATCCTGCAGTACACAGTCCTTGTTTAGAAGACTCTAGCCTCGGCTTATTCTTGAAATAAGGATTTACAAGACAGCTGAACTCTCGCTGATGAGGTTTGAGAGTGATATTTGGCTATCCCTCCTCCAAACTCTTATTTTATTTCGTTCACAAATGTTTGGCAAGCTCAGTATATGGGCACTATAGTATCCCAAGAAAACACACACACACACACACACACACACACACACACACACACACACACACACACACACACAATAACAACTCTCATTAAAATCTCAAAAAAAAAAAACCCAAAACATGCACTGTTTACTGCAGTATAAATTCATAACCAGCAATAAAACAATTATACGCCAAAGTCTAACATACGTACACACAAAGGCGTGCACGTACACAAATAAACACACAGTTTACACTTTCAAAATAGAAAAACAGAAAAACACATCACAAGCAGAGGAGATAGTTTGTATAAATAAACAGAGCAGAAACCAACATCTAAAACCACTAGAGAGGATATTTTCTGTCACTTGTCCCCTTACATCCACATACAAAACAAATACTATAATAATAATGTTAAAACTTGGACAGCAGTGGTAATTGATAATAAGGATATGTGAAGCAAATCAGCTCTTTAATAAGAAGTCCTTCAAATTTGTTTCACACAATATTTTGAAAGGTCTCTTCTATGAAGCTTTCTACTGATATTAAGCAAATAAAAACAAAGGGAATTGTTTGTTTAGTAGAGATGGGATACATTGCAAACATGCTAATAATTGCCTTGAAATGAAATATACAAATTCAAGTTTAAATGCTTTAGCTCTCTCCACAAGGACACATCTCTTAAATCTGCTGTTACTGGAAACTGAAATCTGATGTAAATACAAATATTCAGTTTGTACTTATTTCTGATTCTAACGATTATAAAATCTCTCCAATAAAAGCATCTCAAGAAAAAACAACAACTTAAGGGCTAAATTACCTTTCTCATTACAATAAATAATTAATAAATGTAATAAAATAGTAATTTATATCATTATGCTTATTGATTCGTAACAAGGCACAGGGATTGAATTAGTCCACATGACTGAAACAGCTCATAATAAATAAAAACACACACACACACACACACACACACATACTGATTTAGGCAAAATACCAAAATAGAGTGTGAACACTCAATTAATGAGATAACTGCAAAAATAATGAGGCATGCTGATATAGAAATTGGCTAATTTTGAAGATAATTTGCAACTGAAGATGCCAAAAGACTAAAAATAACGAATGAAAACTGAAAATAAATAACAGTAAGAAGATAAACCACTGCAATTATATAGAACAATAATAATATATCTGATGTACTGATGTAAAATACAACATTTGACATAAAGTAGAGGTTTTAAGTTTTAATTATCTGAATATTTTGCGATTATAATTCATGTTCAAATGACAAATGTGACATTTTCTCCATCTGAATTAAGGAAAAAGTACATAATATTACCAAACACCACCAGTGTTGTGAAGGTGGGGTTGAAGCTAAATATCCTGACAGGTCAAATATATATTTTTAAGGGTCAGTTAAACTTTTAAATATAATAATATTCCACATAAAAAGTCATGCAAAGAAGCTGCAATAAAATAAACAGCAGTGATGAAGCATCAAAACTGAGTACGTTTTTAGGACAGACATTGCAATAAAAGTGTGCCGTATCATCAGAAGAAACCACAATATAATTACCTGTTGTATTGTCAATACACTTTCAACTAACCAGACTGTCCCCTACAAAAATCAACTGAGCGTCTGAAGGTGCACGAAACGTCTTCCCACACAGAAAATGACATGAAACACAATTTAAAAAGATATCCAAGCTTTAGAGGAGCCAAACATTGACTTGCTCATTGCACTTAAACTTAGTTCGCTGCCTGACACTGCTGACACCTGTCCCAGCACTGGAAGCCCTCTGGTTTCACCTCACCGCTGCCTAAAACAGACCTCAACCAGCAGCTTTATGGAGGAAAAGGCACAAAACGGGTGGCGTGAGCCGACTTACCGTACAGCTTATTGGGAGTGCCCTCTCTGTCCGTGGCCTCGGAGGGCAGCAGCAGGGGCTCGTCGTTCAGATCGCTGTCTGGGGTGGCCGCTTTGTCGTCCGCCCGGAGTTCTGCCGCGCTCATGTCGCTGCGCAGGGAGAGCAGCGGCTTGCTCAGCTGCCCTGTAATCATCGGATCCTGGAGGGAGCTGGGGAGCCCAGGTGGGAAACAGGGAGGAGAAAAAAAAGAGAAAACACCCCTGGTTAGATGTGCTTCGGCGTCTCACCCTCACCGGCTCCTTCTCTATGTCTCTACTCACTCTCTCTACCCAGCTTCTCCTTTCTATTGCTCACTCATCACTCTCCCTCTCTCTCCCGCTCCCTCCCTCTCCAGCTCTCTCTTTTATCTGAGGCTGGTGCTACCCCGCTGATGCTGCCGGCTGCTGCCTGGTGAAGAACTGTTACGGATCGCGTGGCTTTACCATTATACCCTGCAGTCCTAAAACGGTGATACATCCATCTCCAAGGGCTCATTACTACCTGACATGTGCCTCATCTTCAGCAAACACTAAGCTGACAGCAGTCTACAAAGAGGGTCCATTGGCTGAGCGCTGATAAATAAATGAAATAAATATAATTCCACATCTGAAGACATGAGTGGAAATACACACCAGTGATTATATCAATTTACACATATTTGGGCACACAAAATGAGATCAAAGGTGACATCTTGCAGCAGAGTGTGAGCCAACACGAACTTCAGGCCTGATTTAAACAAGAGATGAAGTCACTGATGTTCCCAAATTTTTCTCCCAATTATTTTAATTTTTTTTGTCAGCACTTAGAACCAAGAATGAACAGCAGTTACATGATTACAGTAGAGATTAGAGATTGGAGTATTATCTGTCTGAACGTCTTGAAATAGGAGAAAATTCACCAAAGTGAAAATTAAGAACTTTGAAATAAACCGAAACATCACGGTTTAAAAAGCATTTTATGAATGCCATCAGAGGTTTTAATGTTTCCATCAGGACACTTTATCTATTGGAACTTGCACTTTACATACGATTAATAGATTTGTTTTTACTTTTATAGACATTAAAAGGGAAAGTTTCCAAATAGCTGTTATAAAACTGACCTTACCTAAACAAAGCCCCGGAAGAAAAGAATTTAAAAAAAAAGAAAGAAAGAGTTTTCAGAAAGTCCAAATGTTGAAGTCAGTCAAACAGCAGCTACAACATGCCACCACAGTGCAGACACCAGCTAGCACATGCTTTCTACTGAACCAGAAGCAGCCAACTCAACCTTCGTGTATCTGAGTGGCCACCACAGGTTCAAGCCTGAGGTTGCTTCCTAAGACAGGCAGTGGAGATGTCACCTCCTCCCTCCTTCTCCCTCTCCCTCACACACACAACACACACACACACACACACACACACACACACACACTCCCTCCCACCTTTACTCCCTCTGTCTCTTCCCCCTTGTGTCCCCTGACTGGAGAGCTCCTCAGACAGTGTTCACCCCACCTCAGGCTCTGAGACACAGACACAGAGCAGCAGGACAACGTTCCTCTTTCTTATTTATGAATCAAGTCCAACCTAAATATATCTGAGTAAAAGGACAGGTGACCAGCACATATAGGCACACAAAAAGGAGAAAAAAAAGGAGAGGGGGGTGAGTCTTATCTTGCCCCTGCACCCATCAACACCCTCCCCACTTCTATCAGGGTGGTCGATGAGTTCCTGCCCAGAGGGGCCTTTTTAATGTGCTCATCACGGGGAACAGCCCTCTTTGATATGACACATGATAATCTATGAAAATGTTAATCAATAGAAATAGTTTAAGCTGTCGTTAAAAACGTGAGCCGGCTGGTCAATACTCATATCCCTGGTAACAATGTCACTAGTCATCAGGGCTTCATTTGTGGAGCACTTAAATGTGGGACACTGCGCATCAATGCACCTCTCTGCCCGCCGAGGTAAACACATTTTCCCCTCTGTCTGAGCCTGGCCACACTCTGCATGCATTTGGGTCCACCCCCACCTCCTGCCTCCTCTCCTTTGAGTTGCTTGATAGGTCCACTGGAGGGCAAAATTAATACCTAATTGAATCTTGCAGTCATCAAAATAATCAATAGTTTTTTATTATTTATTCTTCACAGTCTGTTGACTGTTTGAAAGCTCAGAGGGACAGGGGCAGAGCACAGGCAGCCCTGAAATTTCTACCGTTTCACAATGTAATTTTCACTGGGGCATGAGAGTTTGCAAGACCTATAAAAAATGAGAGCAGTGGTTTTTGTTACGAGGTGGGGGGAAAGAAATAAAGGAAAAATGGGAATCTTTGCCCCAGCAGCTATGATGAAAAATAGAATAAACAAGCTACTGACACTTCAGAGAAGGGCAGGGTCCTTTCTGTCCATCCCTCCATCTTTTTCCCTTTCCCCTTTTCTCCTTATTTCATCATATCAGGAGTGTGGCGGTACCTCTCTAATGCTGGCATTTCTCTTCCTGACAGACTCCAAACAAGTGCTGGGAATGAGATCAGAGCTCTAATCTTCCCCTGGCCTCTGAGGCTCGAGGATAAGGGGGCAACACATCTCTCACCATCTTACGCAGCTGTTAATTACTTCATTTCAAAACAGCCAGCTTTGCCTATTTGCAATCCTGCCACCAAATTGGGCGTGTTTATTAATTTAAGCTCAGGGAGTAATGCAATTACACGTAATGGGATAACTCTAATCTTATTGCAGAAAAATCCCTAATAAAAAGTGATATTTAAAAAATTACCATAAGAGATTACATTACTGATTCCAAGCGGTGGGTGTGTAACGGATTAGCTTCATTTTTTAAAGTAACCCTCAGACCTCTGGTTAAGACAATAATGTGAGTTTGTGCATGTGTGTGTGTGTGTGTGTGTGTGTGTGTGTGTGTGTGTGTGTGTGTGTGTGTGTTGTAAGAAGGTTGGCGGGAGCAGATATGAGGGAGAAGGTTTGTCTCATTTCTTCCCTGTTCACTCAGTCTGGCCACAGCTCAGGAACAGGTTGCAGGAACAAGAAAAAGCACTTGATCCCCACTCTGCCTCCTGCTCACCAAACACCCCCAGTGGCCGAATAATCAGTGGTTACCAGAGAGTCCCGAGCGTCATCAGATATCCACGCTAATAGCTAGTGGTCTCACCAGTGCTGTCCCAGCGTGAGGGGACACTAGGTGAGGGGTTTCAGCCCAACTGCAGCACCACTTCCACTCCGACACTCACGGTTCCTCTGGTTATTGAACAGAAGTTTAAAAAAATAATCAATACTCATCGTTATTGTCATAATATTGTTTTTATCTTATTCACAGTGATCTCTAATATTTATACCAGGATTCAAGAGGGAATATCCAAACAGCTGGAGCACTACATCGTGGAATCTATAGCTGTGTTCATACATACAAAGTTAGTAATGAAAAATAGTACTAACGGGGGGAAAGTACGCACTACATCCACTGACACACACCCTTCAAACTGCTGGGTAAATTATTAATAGTTTGATGTTACAATGATGTTGTAGTTATATGGTGAAGACAAAAGTAAGGCCACAGAAGTAGCTGAAGAGGGTCCAGCTACACACCAGCAGAGATTTAATGACTACTTGATTAATCCATGAGTCGCTTTAGGTATTTTTTAAGACATTTGCTACGTGAGATACTTTTGATGTTGTATACGACATGTATTTTGGACTCTCAAATAAAACAAGTAAGATGAATATGTCACCTTGCGATGGATGAGTGGATTATTATAACAGGCTTTTTTCACTATTACCTGGACAAATTAATTCATCGATTAATTGAGAAAATAAGATTGATCAACTATAGAAATGACTGTTAGCTGCAGCCCTACATAGCACTTATAAAACTTTCTCTCACACAAGCTGCCAGTGACAATAAAACTTCACAAACAAAACGAAAAAGATTCAATATAGTTACTTTTTTGTTTTCCAATATCTTCCTCAACCTGTCTCACCACCAGCTACAATTAGTGTAATTTTGCAGCTTCCCCTTGCTGCCTCTCCTTTCTGCAGGAAGAACACAACAACAACACACTCGAACAATTTTTAGCACTGATGTTTTGTATATACTTAATTTTCTCTTTCTCATATTGTAAACCTGCTCTGTATTAGTATGTCCATTTTCCTTGTACCCAGTGCATGCTGGGACAGGCTTTAGCACACCTGTGACCCTGAACTAGATAACAATAAGGTTTAAAACCTACCCAAAATACAACTCATCATGTGTCAGACTTCTCGTTCAGGCTTCCTATGTTCGTACAAACAGTCTCAACGTAATGCATCATCGTCAGATCATGTGTTTACCCTGTCAAGGTTACATGACTTCATGAGATAACAAATGTATTCCAAGTACAAATACAAAAATCATCAGTACACAAATCGTTTATTGTCTGCAATCAATCTACGGCAGCTTTTTTTTCTTTCAAAGCTCATTATCACTGGTCTCTGTGGCCTACTGGCTTAAAAGCAATAAATGCATACAGTCATTAGCTGACTTGTTTTTCTGCAGGAACCTAATGAGTTCGCATTTCTTGTAATGCAATCGTAATGACCTGAGTAATGCAAGGAATGCCAAAATTAATATCTGATATTGGCCAGAAGAAAACTGCTTTCAATCCCACTGTAAAATGAGTTCAATGTGTCACCTTTTCACTCACTCCTTTATTTAGTTTACCAGGAATGAATCTGAAACTAAATGTAAAATGAAGGTTTATTGAGCTCTAATATGTAGTTAAGGAATGTTTTACACCACAAAATGACTGTATGTTAAAATAAGACAAACATACTGGTGTTTTAAGAAGAAATATTTCCCTCCTCCAAACTATAATGTTGATTTAACTGCACTTTAGAGCAACTCAAAACAAACAAAAATGCAATTTTATTTGAAGATATAAATCCTAACAATAATTAATAACTGCTCTGTTGTTTTACCCTACTGTATTGGGAAATAATCCCAAGACCTCAGTGGCTAATGTGGTATGGTAGATGATGATTTGTCTCCCCCTTAGGGTTATTAACCAAACTGTGCTCTCTCATGGTAAATGGATCTTTGTGTAGTTCAGTGCCAATTTCACTAAAACCACCTCCATGCATGCAGATGTAAACAAGTGCTATTAATAATTTCTGTTAGTTTGTATTATTGTATCTATTAGTACTAGCTGTCTCTCTGCATACAGTCTTTTGGAATAGCAGGCCTGTAGTATGAGTAGTCAAGATTTGAGGTGATTTTTTATTTTATTTTGCATACTCATTAATATGATCAGCAGTTATCCGTCTCTACTCCACTAAAGCTAAAATGCTCCCCAGTGGACGGTCGGCGGGTCAGTGAAGGCTGAGGGCTATCAAAGCAGTGTATTAAAAGGAGCTCTTTGAAGCTTGTAAACCACGGTGCCCAGCAGGTCCACAACAGACAGATGCCTCTGATTGGTCAGGTGTGTGTGTGTTTTTTGCTAGATCGATCCACGGAGCTGACATTCTGGAGCATCAAAGCTTTCAGCACACTAATCTGACTCCTCCTATGAGGGCAAGGGGTTGTTTTTATTATTTTCCTCTTTTTTTTTCTTCTCCTATGAAATGCTTAGAGGGGCTCCTGCGTGCTTATGATATGAGAGTGGGGGCGAATCGTGTTTTTTATAGGTTTTGAAAGGGGATGAAAACATATTGAAATGGAGCTCGGACACTGTATTTATCAACCGATAAATAATGCAAAACTATAGAGAGAGCAGCAGAGAATCACAGGGCCATCCGTTGGGCACATACGAGAGGAGTGACACCGCAGAGATTCACACACCGCTGCTCCTCAAAGTCAGTCCCCCCCTCACACTGTCTCTGGAGACCCCGCGCCACATACACACTCACAAAAGGTGTGAAAATCTGATTTCCCAAAAAGGATCGGTAATTCTCTGTGAGGGTGGAAGCCGCAATCAATAAATCATTGCTAAGTAGATTGTAAAGAAAAAAAAATTATTCCCCCTTGGTATCAGTGCATTAGGATTCTCCTGAGGATGGATGAGGCAAGATGGGGGTGTGAGACAATCTCAATAAAGAAGAGGCAAATCATACCTTTTGGCATTCATCTGGACTCTGGCAAGCAGCTGTCAGCGGGGGGAAGCGGGACCAGGAGAGTCGACTAGTATCGGAGGGATTCATTGGAGTCCAGGAATGTCTGGAAATATACAAAACCAATAAGATAACTGACTTTCTTTAACAGCACGAACACAGACTTCCAGATACATTTGAATGTGTCTTTGATACAGAGGGATTTTGTTTATCAAGTGGTGGAAACCAATAAGTACATTTATTCAAGTACTGCATAGAAAATGTATCCTTCTACATCTTTAAAGGGGAATATTGTACTTTTAAGGCCACCTTATTTACTGTATCTTACAGTTTGCACAAGCAGATTTTACATATAAAGCTTGATCAGGTTAAAAAAATATATAATATATAATGTACTGTGAAAATGAGCTTTACCTTGACCAGCTGAAACACTGTTGCATGTATATTTTGCCAATAATAGGCTACTTATAATAATGCAGGACTTAATATTACTGTACTGTTCAGTGGTTGGAAGCAGTATTCAGATCATTGATTTTAATAGAAGTTGCAATATGTAAAAAATACTCCATTACAAATGAAAGTCCTGCATTCAAACTACTAATAAAAGTATTAAAGTAGCCTATTACCAGTAAAATGTACTTAAATTTGCATTATGGATCAGGATTATCAACGGGGATGTTTCATTATATATCTATCTTTACTACTGGATACATTTATGCGTAGTATTGTAATGTTGTGGCCGGCTGGGGTGGTGCAGTTATGAACTACTTTATGTACAGTAGTTCATTCTAACAATACATTGTATTTCATGAGCTTATTATAAGTTGTTTATGGGAAATATGAATCTGCAAAGTAAGCAGTAACAAGCTCTTAGATAAACATAGTGGGGTAGAAAGTATGAAATGTATCTCACTGAATTGTAGAAAATACTCAAGTAAAACACCACAAAAGTACTTAAAAAACTGTATTTGAGTAACTTAAAGGTATTTAGTTACTTTTACTTACAAGGATGGCCAGGCTGAGGCCAGTACTCACTTTAAGGTGGCACAGAAAGCGGCCCAAAGATAAGATAATTTAAATGTATATATAATATAAACAGCTGTATAATGTTTATAATCAGATTTTCTTTAAATATGCAGGACCCGAATTTATTTATTATTTATAATCTGAGCTCTGGGACAGAGGGACACACGCAGGAATCCAGTCAATTGAGGTAAATTGGGATCCTAGTGCCATTCATCATCTGTATAATACAACAGTGTTTACTTTTTTACCATTATGTCTCAGGTTTGTGCCTCTAAGGGAAAACATTTGGGCACTTCTGATCTAAAATAAGCCCCTGATAGTCCTGTGGATGTGCAAGCAATAAGAAGAGAAACAGTGCCATTTATCGCCATTTATCATCATCATCATCATCATCATCATCAGCTTTCACTATACTTTTGTAGCTTGTACCTGAATTTCTGCTGTATGGTTCCTGTTTCTGTTCTTAAAAAACAACGAAATTAACTTCCCATTAATTTCTGTGTGGAACAAAACTCAGGAAAAGACTACAGAAGCCAGCAGGTTGAAGATGGGTTGGAGGGGCAGTACAACGAGATGAATGAAAGATGAAAAAAGCGCCCCCAGTGGAGATGGGGCAGTAGAAAAAACAGAAATAATACAGAATAAGGCTTTAAATGTAATCCTTATCCACTATATTGTACAGGTATTTCAATGGATTTTAACCCACCACCATTAACCAATTAGACATAACAACAAAAAGAAAGAACATATATAACAGTTGTTTTATTGTTTTATCTATTCATTTTCCGTTTATTTTAGAGATTTTATAGCTTCCCCCTTTGTTAATAATTAGAAACAGTCCAATAGATATTGTAGTTCAACACAAGAAAAGATGAATAGCTGTGGTTGGAAGCGTTATAGCCTTATGGATGTGATATTTGCCAATAAGACACATAAGTTTGAGATCATTGTCAGTGGATTCAGCATTACAACTCTGTTAAAGCTTAAAATAAAGCAATAAAGCAACTTCAAACCAGAGTGCATTTAAAGAATACATGAGAAATGGATGGATAAATGTCTATTTTAATGTTTTATATTGTAGTATCTATGTAATATTGTATTTGGAGTGAGGAATTTATTAAGAGTCTGGACCACATTTCCTCTGCCAAGAGTTCAGGGACGTTTAGTTTCCATAAAAGAGTTAAATCACAGTGATCTGAGGTTGTATTTTTATGATATTATACATACTGAAAGGTCTTTTCTTTACTCAAAGAGCCATATAACAATGCACTTTTGATAATATATTTGGAGATACTTTTTATAACAGTTATTATTAGTAGTTAGTTACTCTAAAACAAAGATTACACCCTTATTAATCCATTATTTTATGTATCTGGACTTGTTCCCAGACACTACATGCAGGTGTTTTCCCATGTTATGCAACCTGACACTTCTTCCACCACCATCAACTGTTTTATCCACTTGGAAATGTTAATTTATTGGATTAATTGTTTAAAATGAAGTAATAAAACCTCTGTGAAATATGATATGTGGTGTAGAAAACATCCTACCTGTACTTTGAGACTTATAAGTCTCTTGAGCTGGTGTTGAGAAAAGCCACTTTTCCATAACTTTGCCAGTTAACGTCTCAAATACGAGCACAAGTGAAAAAATAAAGTTCATAAATCGTAAAAAAAAAATAGTTTAAAAGTCGTTAAAGCTTTCGCCGAATGTAAATACGACGGTAAAAACACACATTTATCTAAAGTCTGCTGCTCTTTAACGTTAATTACTGTCACAAACTCGCCTTTTCGACGGTTGGTGTGTCGACTCTCTGTCGGCAAAGACTCCAACACCCATAATGCCTCACGGCTGCGTCCCAGTCATGTGATTTAACTTGTGACAGAGGGAGGAAGCTGCGATAACAAACATAAATTAAAAAACGTCTATAGTGGGTATTTTTTAAGATATTTTAAGTAGACCTAATTGTTGCGCAGGTTTAACATGTGATTATCTGAACGCGTAGTGACATAGTATAACGGTTGCCCTTGGATACAGCTTAATAACAATGGCGGAAGTGGAGGAGCAGGTAAGCACTGCATGCTAACGTCAGCTAGTTGGCTAATGTTGGTGTTTATATGCGTGTAAACATCAAAATAAACACGAATTGGGATCTGTTGATAGTGTCAGCTGCCTTTTCATGTAATGCAACTTGTTATTTAACAGTGTATTGTGCGTGTGTGACGTGAATATAGCTTTACATTGATTTTAAAATCAGATATTATAGTAGCATCTCCACAGGCTGTGTTTGAGGTAGATTATATTCCAATGCACGCAAGCTTGCAGTGTGCCACTACTGTATGCTGTGGTGCTTAAATATACGAAGAAACATGTAGTGTCAGATTGCTGCAATCCCATTCAAAATGTCTCTTCCTACAGGGCAGGAAACAGAGTGAGGAATTCACAGATGAGTCTGAGGTAAGAAACACATTAATGTCTGTTTGTGCTTTTTCTCCTACAACAACAACAACAACAACAACAAGAAAAAACTGTGAAAAGGAGGTTTTATATAGAGGTAAAAGAGAAATTACACCTTAAAATGTCATGCCGTTGCACCAGTATGTCGATTTAGAAATGCATCAACAGCAACATATTGCTGTTGACAGAGGTGTGCATACTTCTGTCAAGCATGGGTGATTTTTGAACTCAAATAAAGCTGACTGCCTACTGAAAGGACTGTAATACATAGCCAGCCTTTATCAACCCAGCTTGATCCCAGAAGGATCTTTGTCAGGTTTTGAGAGGTGTCAAACACTCATGAATTACAGATACCTTTCCAGATCCATCAATATTATGACTGAGCTCGGGCACGTTACAGTACACTTGTGCTTCTGAGAATCACAAGTAGGCTAAATAAAATATAGCTTTACACATCAGCCTGGCAAGGAAGGAAGGAAGGAGTTTGTCTTTATAGGAAGCTGAGGATAGAATGAAATATCAGGGCGAGGCTGCAGCGGACGCTTGCACCTCTCAGAAGAACGCAGTTAAGAGTGAGCAGGAGGTAAAGGAGTAAATTCTGGGCTTGCAAATAGAAAGAGCTCCTACATCCTGTTTTCTGTCTGTCCGCAGTGTGTCTGGTACTGTCGGACATAAGCACTCACAGGGAAACAAGCGCCAGGGAATGAAATTGTGTGTCTCCTCCAAGTGGCAGCTGATTATTTACTTCGAAGGCTGCAATATAATGTAGCTTGCTCAGTGTCTGCTGCTGCTGATTGACAGCATCCTCACTGGATAAAGGCACTGAGGAGTCTGTGTGCTCAACACTCACAGAAGAAATGAGCTGGATAAAAAATTGTCCTAAAAGTCAGTGACATGCCCTTCACTACCTTTGTAATTTGGCCAGACTAGTCTGATTTGACATAAATACAGTGATAAGAGTGGTTGTGAGTGTTTTTTTTTGGTCTTTGTGTCTTGCTTGTTTTGTTTTGATCCCTGAACCATTCACGTAGTCAAGGGAAGAGGTTTTATTTTAAGTCTGGAGTGCACTGGATCAAACCTCTCGCAGCAGCGGACACATGATAAGGTAACAGACTTATTGCACCTCCTCTTCATCACTTTAACACTGAAACAAATTCATCAGATTTACCTTTACACATTCATACTGGACATGAGAATCATCAGCCAGTACTGAACTAGGTTTTTGGTATAGGTCTCCTCCCCTTCCGCTATCTTCCGATACTATTTTAACTCCGATGCTGCATCCTGGGCTTACTGCCACCCAGGACGATTGTGATTGGTTTAAAGAAACACAAACAAGCCAAAAAAAATGTTTTGTCCCCCCCCATACCAGAATCATAATGGGTTCAGCCAGACCTTTCTTCATCGCTGGCACAGCTCTAAAATGAAGTGTCGTCTGTGACTGCTTGAATCAGTATTTTTTTTTTCTCTTAAATTACATTATTCACAGGGGGAAGGTTTTTTTAAGGCCAATGAGATGTGGTAAAACACATCACATTGTGATTATTTTGACAGATATTTTGTTCATATTTGATCAGTTTTGCATCACAAATTGAATTTTCACAAAAAACAACAACTATTAAAATCATGATGATGTGAGATTTGTGACATGTTGTCTTAAATCTGGAGAGCTTTGTAGACCAGTGCCCCTCTGTAGCACTACAGTACTTCACTATAAGGCTGTTTTGTCACACATTTTACCTTTATCAAAACATTACAGCTCTTGTGATTTACATATTGCACTTGGCCGTATTGCAATTTCAATAATATTTCTATTAATTGTGCAGCCCTTTTTCTAAACCTCAGAGAAATGTGCTGAGGTGGGTGGAGGACTGGATTAATTTATTTCCTAATGTATAAGGAAGCATGTCCTCCTGTTTAACCTTAATGTAAATTTGTAAGTAGTTCACTCTTCCTTTACGGCCTGTTGTATCTCAACTGCCAACAGGTAAATAATATGGCACAAATGGTTACAACACAAAGGCCAGATCAACTTAAAAGAAATTATGTCATAGAATATGCTTTTATATAATAACTATTGTCCTAAAAAGCACAAACGATAGGTAGAAAATTAAAGAATAACACAAAGGTACCTACATTCCTCTTTTTTATATTGTCACTCATGTGTACATTGTGTTTGAGACAGAAACAAATAGAGGGGTGGGTGGCAGGATGATTCAGTATTTCTTCTTAAAATTGAAGAGGAGATGTCCTCCTTTGTCATCCTAAATGATAAAGGTAGTGTGGTCCTCAGTGTGTATTTGAAAGCAAAATGTTGTCCTTACTGTAGACAGAAGGCTTGGTTCAGCCTGTGTATTAACTAAAGGCAATGGGCAAAGAATATGGCGAAAATGGTTAGAACACAAAGACCAGCTCAGTAGTTGACAAAACAGAAGGCAACTTACAAGAGATGGCAAAAGTTTTAAAATAGGTAGTTGCTCTCTGGGGAATGAAGTTTGCCTTTGTTGTTTGATACACCTTGGAAACCCGTGACAAATGCCCTCGCATCAGAAATCTCACAACCAGAATACACAGGAAATAGCCTAGATATGGCGTTGTTGAGTGGGAAAGGATTGTTTTTGAAAATAACATTTTTTCCACGCTATTGTCCCCCACCTCCAACCCAGTAGCACATAATGGCAGACAATGTTTTGAGTTGATGCACCCTCTGGGCAGCCAGAGACTGTGCAGCATTGGTTATAAACTGAATTATGAGTAATATTCAGGCTGTGACTGGCCGCAAATGTTGGCTCACGCTGGAAAGAGTAACACAGTAGAATACCTTAAGTTTGCTTTATGAAATGACTAAATTCATGTATGTCACTGGGGGATGAACAGTCTCATGAAAAAATAACTTAATGCCGCATTTCATGGATAGGTAATGGAAATTTGTCTTTGTGCATATATCTCCTGATACACACATGCAGGACATATGAATTTCTTTGAAGAGGCCAGAATATGTGTAGAATTGGGCCATTAGTGTGTTCCTGCTGGGTTCAGTCTCTTGCTCACCGACATGATGTTGAGCATTGTGGATGTAAAATCAGCTTCCCGAAAGGTATTTGTTACTTATTGCTTTTTGCTGCAGGTTGTTGAAGGAATGCTGCAGAAGATTATGAAGGACCCCCTGTTTGTCATCTGTTTTATACAGTAGTATTATATGTTTTAGTGAATGTAGAGCTGAAACAATGAGTTGATCAACAGAAAATTGTGCGGCAACTATTTTGATAATTGTTTTATAATTTTATAATTTTTCAAATGTGAGGCTTAGATACGTTTCTTTGTCAGTTATGATAGTTAACTAAATATATTTAGGTTTTAAACCCTTGGGTTGGGTTCTCAGATATTAAAATGCCTTTTTTTTTTTACACTTTATAGACAAAATGATTAATTAATTGATCAGCACATTCGTTTTGTTTTTCTGTTCAAGTTAAATGAAGATGGTCTGATATTTTACTTTCTGCACAGATTGGCTCATATATCTTAAAATACATCACCGTGTAGGGCTGAGTCATAACTTGTTCGTCCGCTGCTTTAGCATTGAGATGATAGCGTGTTATAGTTTTACTAAATTCTATTGACAAATGTATCATGTAGTTAGAAACCAACATTATCCTCGACACACAGATGATGTATTTCCTTCTTACACAGTAGATTTTTCAAGTATTTAAAATCAGGAATTATTTAATCATGTTTACTAGCTGGCAGTCTTCGTCCCCACTGCCTTTGCTGGTTCGTTTTTTTGGCATGTTACTGCCACCATCTCTCAGCAGGAATATTGTGAAGGCAATTGTAGAAAGTAATCTTGGCTCTCGCGTCCTCAACAACAACAAACAAACAAACAAACAAAACAGGGACCTCCACTCGCAAACATTGCTCCAAACCACCACTAGTGGTCAGAAACTCTACAGGGTACCTTTAAGTTGAGTAGCACATTGTCACTCCCTTTAACCTTGTATTTTAAGACAGTACAGGATTTAAATGACATGAGGTGGACATTTCAGGAGGACTTTCATAAAACATTGTGAACTATAACATTTGTGAGAGGACACTTTGCTGTTGTAATGAACACCTTTTAAACAATAAAAGTTTACTTTCTCCACCAGGAGGAGGACAGCGAGGAGGAGCCCAAGCTGAAGTACGAGAGGCTCTCCAATGGGGTGACAGAAATCCTGCAGAAGGATGCAGCCAGCTGCATGACCGTCCATGACAAGGTAGAGGTTATAATCTTCCACCCACAAGGGCATT